GTGAGAATCATATTGATTACTATTTAAAAAAAGAGAATCATTATTATGAACATTGCATTAAGTATCAAAACTATTTATCAGCAAGTAATAATAGTGATTTCTTTGGAATGAATATTTCTATGAATAATTATGTTTTTAAAAATTTGATGATCCAGATGAGTATCAAGGATTGTGTCCTTCTGCAACTGTTATAAGAGAATGTTTTTTAAATTACTTTGAAACTAAGTTGTTGGAGAGTTTTATTGATATGTACATGAGAAATTTATCTGGAGAAGTTTTATCATCTGATCACACTTTCAAAGTAGCATCCTTGGTTTGGATTGCAAAAAACCAACCATTTGGTGCTTTTTGGGCTGTTTTGAATGAGTATAATGAGGTGATTACCATGGCATTTGTTAAAGATAAGTCAAATGCTTGCATAAAACCTATTCTTGAGAATCTTAAGAAACGCTACCAATTATTAAATAAAGATGATCCTTGGGCATGGTATTCAGATCAATGTTGCACTGATTGAAAGTTAATAAATTCAGTTTTTCCAAATACACCAGTAAAGAAGGACCTATTTCATTTTTTGGATCTCTATTTATGTAGTATGGGCAGAGAATCACAAAGTAACCTTTTTTATAAACAGTTTGTTAGAGAATTGCATGATATTTTTTTCATAAACAAAGATAATCAAAAAAAAATCCCACAACCAACTTTGTTAGAAGAAAGATTAGAAAATTTCATAGATAAACATAAAAATCTCAAGTTTAATATTATAAATGAAAATTTTCTCAAACAGCATAGAGATAATTTGATTCATATTAGACTTGGATGTGTTTCTGATGTCCAGGACAAGCCTTCTGAAATCATTATCAAGGGTAAGTATTTATTTTTAATATAATAAATAAATAATTAAATAAATAATTAATTAATTAATAATTATCTTGAATTTTTAGATAAAATTAATAATAAATCTAAAACTTTGTATTTACATGGAACTTCATCATTGGAACAAGCAAATAAAGCTTTTGCAACTCCTTTTAGATGTACTGCATTGTTGAAGATAACTGTCTATCGAAGAAATGTTCATATGGGGAGAGTGAATCGTCAAGATAATTTCTTACTAAAGTGCAATTATAGTTATTTAATTAAAACAAAACTTAGAACATTTGAATTGATGAAAATTTTGTTTATAATATAAATTCTAATGAAACTTTTGGATTTTTGAGCAGTGATAAAGATAATTTATTAATTAATGATACTATGGAGGAAGAATTGAATGACATGGATATTATGGAATCAGGAGAAGACATGGTATCAAGCCTATTGGATTTATCTTATGATAGCAGTGATCCTGTGTCTAGTGATCCATCAACAATGAATTATGATAACTTTAATAATATTTTGATTGATAATAATAATAGTAACAAATATCAATCATCATCATTATTTATTAAGGAAAGAACTGGAGGTTATGTTTGCACCAGTAATTTTAATTCCAATGAACACAGTAAATTCAAAGAACTTTACAAAAATCATCTAAATCAAATTAATGATCCTAAAAATATTAATTGGGATAAAGTATATGGATATTGGATGGATCTTGCTGATAGAAATGCAGATTCAAATTCTTGTACATTAATCCGTCCTAAATTAAAAGAACATTTAAAAGAGCATTTTTCAGTAATTAATAATTTTTATTATGAAAAAAAAATAGAAGAAAGTGTAGAAGCAGGTAGAATATAGTTTTTAAATATTTAACATTAATAATGAAAGATTTTAACTATTTATTTAGTTATTAAGGGTCTTCATCAACAACATCCAACTCGTCATTAAATACAAATGGTAAATATGCTTCTTACTTTGGTTTTCACTAAATATCATTGAGATATCATTAATTATTATAATTTTTTACATAGTATTAAATAATAATAAGAGACCAATATCACCAGTGCCATCATCACCATTTATGCAACAGCAACAAAAACAAACATATAAAGAACCAATTTGTCATTGTTGTGGCAAAAGTAAATCTAAAGATAAAAAAGAACATCCACCAAAAAGGTATTGTCCTGATGGTGTGTTAAGTACAAAAATACATATTACATTTCCTCGCATTTGTGAACAAAAACCATGCTTTCAAAATTGTAATGATAGGAATTAGAATAAAATAAAATAATTTTATTATGTACAATATTTTATTTATATTTAAATCA